CTCTACAGGACCAGGATAGTAGTCCTCCAGGACCAGGATATTGGTCCTCCAGGACCAGTATTGGACCCTCCTAGTTTAGAGTTTTGTAGGATGTGTTTTTGAGTGTTTCACTGGGTTATAGTTGGTAAAGCATTGTGTAATCTTTCCACTGAACCTGTTTGTGCGTTGTTGCCAGGTGTGTTTAGTTCTGTCCTGTGTGTGTGCGTCCTGTGTGTGTGTGTGTGTGTGTGTGCATCCTGTGTGTGCGTCCTGTGTGTGTGTGTACGTCCTGTGTGTGTGTGCGTCCTGTGTGTTGGACGAGTGGACAGAAATGAAGTGGACAGAGGAGGTGGAATAACACATGAAAAAAGGTGTAAAACACAGATTTTTAATTTTAGCTTCCAGGAACTGTTCATGTGTCGTCATTTAATACGATCATTTCTGAACCACAAAGCTTCTAAAACTGACAGAGATTTATTTTCTGGGCCAAAAACTTACAATTTTGGTTAGCAAGGGTCGAAAAATGCCAAAACCTAGAATGTTAGAATGTGGTGTGAAAACCTCCTTTACCACACTCGACTTTCCTGAAATATATCTTTTAAAGTGAAAACAAAGAACTAAACTCTTCTCTGTTAGTAAAACCATGAACCAGTTGACAGGTTTGAATAAAACTACAGGATTAGAAATAATTGTACATCTACAACTTTAGAGCCCAATTCAAGATGGCCGCCGCAGACAGACACAAACATGTGAGTCTGTCAGCTTCATGTTGAATTAAAGTTTGGTGTGGTAGTTGTTGAGACTGATCTCTAATGTGTTTAGGTTAAAGATCATATGAATCCATCATTAAATTAATTTCTTGTGATTTAGTGGTGTGTTCAGTTGTGTAAGCATCGTTTCTGTAACATTTCTCTCCTCCATGTTTTTGCTTCCCTCCGACCAGCTGTGTTATTTTGTGACTCGTCCACCGTGACCTCAGCTGTTCCACCTCTGACTCGTGTAAACTTTCACCTCGGAGACGAGTCTAAAAACACTAAAATTGTTTCTCTTACATCATCGTGTTTGCTTTGATTTTCACCAACATGACATTTGTATTCTCTCTGTTTCCTCTCAGTCTAAACTGGGGTTTCTGAACGTTGTTATTTGAGGTATAACTGTAGTGATGGAGACACACACAGCTAAACACAAAGTTAGCTGAATAATCACTAATATGCTGAACAAGAATCTTAGCTCAGCTAGCACTAAACTGCTAAACAGATCACAAAATTAGAGGAAGCTAATGCTAACAGCTAAGATGGTTAGCAGACTGACCAAACCTGTTGTTAATTTCTATTGGTTTATTTTGAATGTGGGTGGGATCATCTGTGGCAAATCGACAATCCAAACCAGTTATAGCTCTGTTTAACTTCCAGTTTAACCTTTTCAGAATAAAAGCATTTCTTTGCTTGAATTTGTATTTCTATAAAATTTTCTCTACCATATTTTATACAGTCAAATTTTATATTTAAATATTGTTAAATGTTATTTTATTTTTTGGACGCTCTTAGTTTGAAGCTTAGCTGCTAAAGATGCTAAATGCTGCACACACGACACGCCCAACACTGAGAGAGAATAGTTTTTGTTTATTTTGGGATAAACAACATTAGTTTTTACACTTTTAGTGAATATCTTAGTGGACTTGAAATTGGTGGAAGCTAATCTGTCCGCTAACGGTTCCCAAGGTTAGCAAGGAAGCTAATCCACTAAATGAAAAGCTATTTAGCGCGTTAGTAGAAATGTGCCCACCAGTGTTTTAAAAACTGGAAAACAGGGTTTATAGTTTGTAAGATGTGAACTCGTTTGGTGCAAATGATCCTGGCAGAGCTGTTGTGTGATTGGTTAAAACCTTTCTGTGGGCGTGGTTGACCAGGAGTTCTGGGCTGTACTTTCTTTTTTTACTATACTATACTATACTATACTATACTATACTATACTATACTATACTA